CTCTACTTACTTCACTTTGACAATAAATCCACTCCCATCCGTGCTCTTGATGGCACCACTGATTTTCGCATCCAGAGCCTTCGCCTTCATAAACATGATCGGATGCCACTAAACGGAAAAAATCATGATTTATATAGATTGGGATTGCCAGCTCACCGACCAGCCCTGAACTTTGATAATACAAAGCCTAGACTCAAGTCCCGATTCCAGCGTGTTGCATAGAGACTAGGACACGTAATAATCGCAAATCATCTATCAAATCTCAGAGACGGTATCATCAGTCGCAACGAGTCACGAATACAGCTACATCTAATTCACTCACACCTACTGATACCAGCGCTTCAAGAGCCTATGCGGCCGGTGTGTCAGCTATTGCTATGGAATAGGAAAACGAGAAACGCCAATCTTTGTAAACAGGAGGAAACTATAAAGACCAGTAAGTTGAAGCTCTACGAGACCCGAAACTGATCGAAAGCAATCAGGAAGGTTATGTCACCTACCCTTACGAGCCCAGTTGAAGTCATAGCAAAAGAAAAAGGAAGAAGGTGAAGAAACCTACCATTAATATCAAATTGTTGTGGATCGAAATTCATACAGGAAATTAGTTGCACATGATATCGGCCCTGCACTGGCACACAGATAGAGGACAAGCCGGCTGGCGCATTAACATCTCCACGAAGTTGCTTCTTATCGATATGGGACCATTTCTGAAGCAATCTTAAATTTTTGTTGGGATTCAAAGGCGAGAACTTGTTTCTGAGAATCCATCTTAATCCTATACAATTCGCTGGATCTGAATTTCTCGAAAAGAAAAAAAAACCAGGAATTTTATGCCCTTGTTCGCCGGTTACTGCTTATGGTTAGAAAGACCTCCATAAATTTATGTACCACCTTAGACACCATACGCATTACCCAGTCATAGGCAACAATTCGTCAAAGCTAATACCCTGTCAATGAAGTGTTTCAACGCAGTTCTCACTATTTTCCGAAATATGTTCGGATAAAATACCTAGCGTCTGCTGTCACAAAACTAGTAAAACTTACCAGTTGTGCTGGATGACTGAGCTTAATACTGCTAGCAAAGCCACTCTGTACGAAATGCACAGGTTGCGGACGAACTTTTTCGATGACCAGCGGCAGCTCTCGCTGTTCCCAACAACCTCGGTCACCTTCGTCAATTCGAACTAAAGAAGTAATCGTCAAGCAGCTTAGCAGAGCAGACCTCAGAAGCAAAGCAAACCTCGATAGTTTCCGGGGCCAATATTCTTGAAGACGAACTCGTCTTTTCCACGTAGAGTATTAACAACATCACTTCCGTGCAATAGAGATATCGACAGTGTTTCACATGTTCCTAAAAATGGTTACTAACTTTTTTAAATCACTGGGTATTATGCCCTTTCTAGTAGAATATGAAGCTAGATGATATACAAAGCAATGGTCAGATACACGGTGGAGCATTCGATGAGAAACATTAAAGGAGGATTCCACAATGAGGTCGGATATCGGAGAAGAGAAAATAA